GCCCCGGGCAGGCGCAGAGGGCGCTTCCCCGCCGCGCTTCCGCCTGCCACCAGCCTGGGGCGGGCAGGAGGCGGCGGCGGGCTTCTGGAGGGCCGGCGAGGTGTCTGACTGGAACAAACCGAAAACCTCACAACTTAACAACTGACTTCTCTCGGACGCATTTTAAGCTCCCTTCGTTTACAGTTACGCAGCACTGACTATTCTTGAGTCCATTCTCGAGAAAACTGAACTTGCTAGTGCAGGTCCAAAGGCTGCCTTCTGCCCGAGCTTTTCCTGCAATCGCCTCCCTAGTTTAAAGGCACTCACAGTTCATTGCCATTTTAATACAAGCAGAAAGAAGCTCATAACGCCGCTGACTTGACGTCTTCCTTGTGAGGCTTTTGGGGCTGCCGGCAGGCAATGCAGCACGCCCAGTGCGGGTGCTCAGCCCTGTACCCCAACAGGAATGGGCCATGGAACCGGCCCTTCCCACCCTCACGATTCGCTGAAGACTCTTCCAGCAGCAGGAGCACTGCGCAATGGCATAAGGCCCTGAAACGGTGTGCCACCTCTGATGCAGCACTCCCAAGAGATGGTATTTCACAGCAACAAGAAGAGGAAGGAGGAGGGAAGAAATTTTACCAGTTGGCATTTCATCCTTCTGAAACCAAACATTAACAGTCTGGTGCTCACCTTGAGCAGGAGAGCCACCCTCAGGGCATCCATACTCTCCAAATAAAGAAACAGCACTCTCGCTCAGCACTGATTTAAAACCAGAATCCCTTCACCCCAAAACCTAGGAAAAACAGTTTGACAATATATTAAGCAGACATCTTTACATTGTTCTCATAGAATTGGCTTATCAACATTCAAAACTCTACACAAGATATTTGATTACTCTGTGTGTGGCAAGTTGGGTCAAAGGTGGAAGTAATCTGAACATGGCAAGACACTTTTTAACAGCCCGCGAGCGAACACGCCCTCAAGTCATGCTAAAACAAGCTCTTCCTCATAAACAGACTGAAGGAGGTATGGATCCTTCTCTTTGCACTGATATGCCTGGACAAATCAAGCCTAAATACAAAGTAGCTACACAAATATAAAACTAATGTAAAAGGCCTAGGCCAAGCTCAGAAGACATGCCCAGAATAATGTTGCACCTAGCTAGAAATGTATTACAGTTGGCACCCATAAAAGCCAGCCACGTTCGGGCCTGGGGAATTCCTGTGGCTGTCAGTAACAAACAGATACAGTGACAAGCAAAGGCACAACTATAGAAACGACACACAGAAATGAGTATCTGGGAATTCCCAAAAATCTCAGCTAATATTTTTTAGCGCATTGCACAGAAGTCATTGCAGATTAAACGTGCCATTCTCTGTTCATAATTTGACACATCTCTAGCTGAATAGAGGCAGACTTGAGTAATTTCAGAGAGAATGTGCCCATGTTAGTTAGGGGTCAGAATAAAAAGGGTAACCAGCAAGGGCTGAACACCCAACATCTCCCAAGAAAAATCTAGCTCTGGACTGCCTGCTGCACAGCTCAGTCTCCTAAATGGCGTGTATTTTGTTTCCACTTCTTCCTGGGCTTCAAGATTTCCTGCAGGGGATCTTACAGACTGCAGACATAGCCAACAGTTCAACTAATCAAAACTCGTCAGTATCTGAATTTATCTCTGAGAACGAAGTGTGAACCCTTACAGAGGTGGTGGGAAAACCCATACTTAGAGCAGCGCATGCAATGTGAGAAGCTGGCAGCAATGCAAACACGGGCAGGCTACTCACACATACCACTAACCCATCCCAAGAGCAGCACATTCACAAGTCACTCCAAAACAGTTATGGTGGAGAGAATGACAAACTTCGCATGGAAGGTGGCCGTAAACAGCTCTCTGGGAAAGTGGTGTTAAACTGAACGAATAGGTAGCTTGCAAGATGCAAATAACTGGGCATGGATTCATGCCACTGAATAACCTTTCCACCTCTGCAGCTAACAGTCCTCCCCAACTATTCTAAGCATTTCCCTTTTCAAACAGCATCACTGTGACCTTGCCTGCCTTCAGCTTAAGCTTGCAAGACTTCAACTCACCAACTTTGCTTTCCTACCAATGTTCTGACTCCGCTTTCTGGTGGTAGCACTTCTGCTGGCTGAAAATAAAAACATAGAATTGAATGCCAGGATTATTTTTGCTATAGCATTTGGCCTCCAAGCCAGGAGTTGAAGAAAAGTGAGGACAGGCAAAGTAACTATAGCTGAGGGCCTTCAGAGAGGAAAGGCGATTGCCCTCACCATTCTCCCAGTTGTGCTACAGCAGAAAAAACTAGTCAGAAAATTGCAGATCCAACTTCATTCTTACCCTTCAGTTCTGTGGGAGGTCCACAAATACGTGCAAGAACGTATCAGCCACCCTGCTGCAGGCATGTGTGAGCGTACGTTGCGCAGAACCATAAAACTGAAAGTGTGTTTTCCCCTTCCTCCATCACTGCATAAACCACACATAAATTTATGGTACCACTACTTCCTGCAGTCCTTCAGAGGATTTTCACAGGGTTCTCTCTCCCTTCTAGTAGGTCTTCATCAGCAGGCAATAATGTTAGCTGTGGAGGTCACCTGATTTTAACAGGTAGAACAAAATACTACACAATTTCATGACAGGGTGTGACTGACCAGCATCCCCCCCACAGTGGAGGACAGCTCAGAGGAGAAAGGCAAAACCCCAATGATTTCAGGGAAGAATATATCATAAAAAAAGCTCAATTCACCTCAACAACAGGGACACTGGAGGGTAACCTTAGTTTTAGAGGAGACAGTTGCACCTGTGAATCATCAGGTTCCCCAAGACAATTAACAAAGAATAATGTCTTCCTGAGCTAGCCAGACCAGCATAGGGGGTGTGAATACATGGCTCAGCCCAACATAAAAGTATAGAAACTGGACAGCTGATAAAACATTTAAACTTTGAAAAGAACAAAGGGCTTGAGCTGGCTTCAACCCACACATTCTATCGTAACTGGGGATGCTCAATGTCATGATGGTCAGCACACAGAGACAGATAACAAGCATCATGTTTGTATTCTGATTCAATTGTATATTGCAATTTCTAAATTATGCTTGTGTTGTGATTTCAGTATGTTTCTGTATCACTCTACAAAACGTAACACCAAAAAAGTAAATTTGATATCCATTTCCTCCTCATGTGGCATATCTGAAAGAACTTGATTTGAGTGTATTGAACTCTGACACAGAGAAATATGAAAACACACAAATGCTGTAGATTCGCAACTTTACTATTGGAGCAGCTGCCACCTTCCAGCAAGTTTCTCCCAGAGGAAGCAGTTACTTCATTTAAGCTATATTTCCTTATAGTAAAACAATATTCACAAATCTAATTACTAACTTCATCTCAGGGTCCCATTTATGAAAACATTAGAACAATGTAAATAAATTGTTGCCATACTGCCTAAATAGTTAAGCCACAGAACTGTATCACTCCTGGTAACACCTTCTGGTAACTTTTGCCACAAACAGCACTCTCATTTCTATAGTGCTTGTAAAGTCTATGTATTATTTATGAAAACTGTGTGAACAGAGCTGTGATTCTAAGCATGGGCATTCTCCCTTTGACCTGGGAGGTGCAAAAGGGTAAGGGGAGAAAAGTGAAACTGCCAACACATAGTATGGAATTAGAAAAAAAAGTTTCGCTTCAAGAACACAAGCAGGATTGAATAAAGAAGCCCTGCTTTACAGCTAGACATAGATTTCCAAAAAATACAAACTAAAAAAAGCATAAGTTAAAGTGTCTCAAATCCATCCTTTACCTTGTTATAAACTCAGAAGGAATGTAGCTGTTAGAATCCCACACCGCTCCCACACACCACCTACATGCTGCTGAGGATGCAAGGTAAGAACAGCCTCACTGGTATCAGCTGCCATTATTACGAAAGTCCTAAACTTAAACTTACTCTTTGCTACTATCTCTCCAGCTGCTAATGAAGGGATATCAATATGCTACCCTTTGGGGTGGCTGCCATAGAATACTTCAACGAGAACAAAATAACGTCTTCTGCTGAAGTAAAATTGTTCGTCATGCTGACTGTCCTCAGTCAGCTCATCCGAAAGAGAAACATACCACAAACAAAGGTAATGTGAAAACCAAGAGAGTTTATTACAACAGAAACAAAAGTCCACAGGAGCTAGAGTCAGATGCCAGAAGGAGAAGGCATCTCAAGAGTAGCGGATCTAATGGAGTGCG